CAGTCACCGAGGCTCCGGCTGGTGCGCCCTCGCTGCCAGCGACCCTGTGGCCAGCCCTTCCTCTCTGCAGCTTTCATTTACTTACTTTTCTTTGCAGGTAAGTTTTAAAACTAGCAAGCCAGCCTGTATGTACTTCTAAAGTAAGGACAGCTAAACAAGACCTCGTATCTCTGCCCCTTCCAGTCCTGTTCTCTCTGGGGTGCACAGCCGTTTTGATCAGTTCTTAGTTTAACTCCCTTGGTTTCTGCAGGACTGGTTCCGCGATCAGGTCCGTGACAAAACGGCGCAGTTTCTGCCTATAACCCGCACACATCCTCCCGTAACTTTAAGCCTTCTCAGGACCCCTTATAACGCCTACTCCATCGGAGACGCGGTGGAAGGGGCAGTTGGCCAGTATCGCTTAAGGAACGGGGCAGGAGAAAGAAGAGCTGTGCGCATCCGGTGCGGCACAGGCAGAAGCGCTGCGGGCCCAGCTGTATTTCCACCTGCCCTGGGGCGAGTCTGCACGGTCCTCCCTCACACCCTTTCACCTAAAATGTGATACACGTCCTACCAGTCCTGTCGATCAACCTGCCACAACATACACTGAAACTCTGCTTTCTCAACTCCAAGAACAGCGGCAGTATACGGATGTATCGGGGGCCTTCGGCCAACCCTCCGCAGGCAGGCTTTGGGGTTATTTGTAGTCTTCTGCCAGTGTAAGGAGAGCTGCAAAAAACTCACGTCTGCATTTTGCTAGCGCATTTTTGGGATAGACTCTGAATCGTGATTGGGTAGTTCCCCTCCATCGGGCAAGGGATAAAGTGTCCCCGCTGGCTCCCGCCTCCTCACCACGCTCCCCAAGGCCTCTGTGTGTGCAGAGCTTCTCCACACCTCTAGGGCTTGCTCCTCAGCGGGCAGCTCCCCAGAAACCCTTCCCTGACCACCCCGTGTCACGTAAGCCCTTTATAACCCCCGTAGTCCAGGTTTGTTTTTCTTCACAGCTTTTACCACCACTTCAGTTATGATTGCATTTATTGTCTATCTCTTCGTGAAAATGGACGCTTCCTAAATACAGAGCTTTAGCTGAATTTATCCCTTGTACCACCAGAACAGTTCCTGGCACATATGGACATTTAATAAATATTCATTCAATAAAAGCTGTGGGGTGAGCGTTTACACATGCAAAGGTCAGTCAATCAAACAAAACACAATATGTGGAGACTGGTAAAGAAGAAATGCTCAACAGGCTTGAAGACACTCTGATGACCTCAAGACAAAAGTACTTAACTTTAGAAAAGGCAATATGGTATAAATTACACATAAGAGGCCCAGTAAACAAAGTCCAGAGAACTGACAGATACATCACTGCATCCCAGGAGACTGGACTGATCTCATCTTCACTTGAGGTACAGCCTTTAATGAGCACTCAGCCTAAATCTTCTACAGAAGCCATGTGCAAAAGCTAAGGCTAAGGAACAGATGGAACAAGCCACGTGAAGGCAGTAAATGGTGGCACAGTGGCTTTCTGGCCACGTAACCCAGGAGAGGTAGTACTGAAGAGTGTACTCTAGGACCGTGCCCCTGGGTCTGGACCCTGGCTCCCCCTTTCCTAGCTAGGTATGACCGACACTGGACAAGATAAATCCCAGCATGGGGGACTGAATTCAGGGCCACCGCAGTGAGCTAGATTATCTGCAGCCCTTTTTATTTTTTATTTTGAGATCCAATCTTGCTAAGTCGCCCAGGCTGAGCTCCAGCCTGTGATCACTCTGCCTCAGCTTCCCAGAGTGCTGGGATGCAGGAGTGTGCTACCACTCTCGGTTTCTGTGCAGAAAAGTACTTACTTTGTTGGTAATTTAAAAGTTACTGATTTATCCAGGTGCAAATACATACCTGTCTTTCCAGCTATTCAGGAGGTCAAAACAGGAAGATCACACATTCAAGGGCAGCCTAGGTAACTTAGCAAGACGGGGTCTCAAAATAAAGAAAGAAACAGGCTGGGGGTGTACTCAGTGATAAAACACCCCTGGGTTTGATCCCTAGTGCCACCCACACACACATACATAAAGACTTAATGACTTAAACTGCATTAAAACAGCACTTAGCACTTAGTAATATGTTAATTATGGTGATTTATACTAGTGACTTTGAACACCATTAATTTTTAAAATTTATACATATCTATATGTCCCATTTCTCCCAAAAAAAGGATTTGGGACAATTTATACCGAGCTATATGTATGAGTATATATGTACACACTTAAGAGCAGAAAAGAAAAATGAGGTGTGATCAAAATATATAAATGTTCAAATAAAATTTATTGTAGTAAGAAACATGCTACCATGAATCCCCATCAAAATATTCTCCCTAACTTTGGGTTTTTCTTTTTTGAGATGGGTCTCACTATGTAGTTCAGGCTGGTCTTTAACTCAGGAGATAGCTCAAGCTGGCCTTGAACTCAAAGTGATCCTCCTGCCTCAGCCTCCAGAGTGCTGGGATTATAGGCACGAAACATCACACTCAGTTCTCCCTCGTCTTTAACACACATTGTTCATGCCATTTGCTGGAACGAATCTGAAAATTCTCTTTTGTGACTGTCTTTAGGAGGTGTGATAAAAAATACAGTGATTAGGGCCAGGGATTTAGCTCAGTGGCACTGTGCCTGCCTTGCAAATACAAGGTTCTGAGTTTGATCCCGGGTACCAAAAATAAACACATAAATACTAATAGTGAATGTTGCTGCCAACTGCCATCCAATGAAATGGCAGTGTCCTCATCCACCTTATTCACCAAGCCTGGCGTGTTGTGGCTTCTGGCTCTTCCCCAAACTCAAGATGATCCTGAAAGGTCCATGTTTTGAAGTAATTCAGGACAGTGAGGTAGCTCCAACATCACAACTAAAGGCATTCATGAAAGACGACTTCCAGAACAGTCTTGGAAAGTGGTAAGGATGATGGGATAAGTGTTTGAAGTGAGGGGGAGTATTCTGAGGAAAATACTATTTAAAAAAATTGGGGGGGGGTACCGGGGATCAAACTCCTGCACTTGCAGGGTAGGTAGCGGAACCACTGAGCTAAATCCTCGGCCCTAAAAAAAAACTTTTAAAATTTAAACATTTACTGTTTTTCTTTCACAGCTTGTAGAATTTAAAGTTCATGAAAGGGAGAAGGAAATAAACACAGTTACTACCAAAACTGACACAGGAACACTGTGGCTAAGGTAAAATGAGAAATACAATGGATAACTCGACTTTTATTATTTGGTAAGAGGCAACATAGTAATTCTTCAAAAGAGATTAACTTTCCTCTGATACTTAATCCTAAAATGAACATAACCTAGGGACCCCCACACAGAGCACACTGTAACACAGAGTGAGTGAGTTCAACAATAGTGTCATATACTGTAGTAAGTACAAATGGTTTCTCATCTAGTTAGGTTTTTTTCATTTTGTTTTTTTTTATAACTGCTGTCAACAAAAGCTATGGACACAACACTTGAACTAATTCTGTATAGATTAGTCTACCGAGGCCTAATAAGAGGTAAACTATTATGAACATTCATATACATACCAAAGACCTGAAGACATCTTATGCTGTTAACTGCAATTACATAATTTAATGAAATAACATGGAAAATAATTAAATATGAGCTAGAGAGAAAGAGAAGGAGAGAGTTGCTATTGCTATGAAAACTAACTTCAAAGCTGGAAATACTTGCCAAAGAAATACTTGCCTAAAACAAATGCTACTGAATTAATTATGAACTGGATAATGTAAGAGCCTGCAAGGGAAATTCATGGAAATCTTAAATAACTCTGAGTTCAGGTTCTTTTACAAAGTGTAGTTCAAGATGTTCCATTTAAAAGAAGGCAAAAAAATGAAACCTTGGTTATGTCATATGTGTAGCTGTTTCACCTAACAAAATGTTTTATAAGTCTTTGTTTTTCTTACATAAATACCTAGGAGGGCAGTGGCTACCTCACTGGACTCACTTCCTTTGTCCATTCACCAGTCCAAGGGCATCTGGGTTCCCAAAAGCAAGATCATGAATAAAGGTGCTATGAATATTGATATATATATATGTTTCCATTTCTCTTGGATGGATTGCTAACTCAACAGTTAGGTCTGTTTGGGGAAGAAGCAGAGTGGACCTATATATAAAGCTTTCTGGAGGTAAAATGCCACCAAATAATTCCATTCACAGACCCAGCTAGAGAAGGGGAGGGGGCCTGCAGGGCAAAGGAGAAAAGCTAATCTGAGTAACTCCCAGAACGTGGCCAGAAACACAAATCAGGAAAGAATAAACCCATAATCAAGTGATACACAAAAGTGTGAATGAAATTGGGGCTGCTGAAGGCAAAACCATGCAGAATTTGGAGCTGAGCCCGATCTTCACTAGAGACAACCCAAGGAACCAGGAAGGGACTGATTAGGAAAATCAGCTCATCCGCCGCCCTGGAATTCAGTATTAAAGCGTATTTCCCGCGCTTGGGAAGCTGAGGCATGAGGCATGAGGATGGCAAGTTTGAGACCAGCCTGGGCAACGCAGAGAGACCCTGTCTCGAAATAAAAATTAAAGGAGTGAACGAAGAATGAATAAAAATAAAGGGGGCTGGGGACGTAGCTCCGTGTGGAGGTCCTGGATTCAATTACCGTTACCGCAACAACAGAAGCAGATTCCCAGCACACGCTTCCACCACCAGCTATAACCCCAGCCAGAGACTACAAACCCCAGAGTGCACCATGCGCCCCGCAACCGGGGCTCTCGCTCCCAGGATGCACCTCGATGCCCTCCCCACTGCCGAAAGGCCGCGGGCCCTGGGGTGCTGGGCTGGGCTTGGCTTCTGGCTCACCTCGGAGCTCCGGGAGCCCTTCAGCACTTGCTTGGTAAGCGCGATCACATCAGTTCCACAGGTGTTCACCTTCTCGGTGAGAAGTCCCTTCACTGACTGACCAAATCTCGCTTGCGAATCCGGCGTTCCCGACGCCATCATCTCAACTATCTGCGGCCTCCGCCCGGGCGACGGTGAATCGCAGGGGCCAAAAGAGTCGCAAAGCGGAAGGCAATGAGGCGGAGTCTTCTCAGTCCTACTTTGGGAAGAGCAAGGGATGCCCGCGTCTACTGGAGATTGGCGTCTACGTATAAATTCATTTAAAAGTGCTGTCCACTCATACCCAGAGGAACACAAGGCCTAAGCAGATCTCTCTGAAAGGAGTGAAGGATAATTTCAGTAAATCGCTGTTTTAAAATCAGAGGGGCTGGCTGGGTGTGGTGGCACATGCCTGTAATTCTAGCCTCCAAGGCTGAGGCAGGAGGATTGTCTCAAATTCGAGTCCAGCCTGGATTATGTAGCGAGTTCGAGGTCAATTTAAACAACATAGCGAGACCCTGTTTCAAAAAACCTAAGTAAGGGCCAGGGATTTAGCTTAGAGGTGCAGCCGCCTGCCTCACAAGGACAAGGTCCCAAGTTTGATCCCCGGTACAAAAAAAAAAAAAAAACCCACTAAAATTGAAAAATCAGAATAGCTGGATTACAGTGCCAATTCTGCCATTTAGCAGTTGTGCGGCTGCAAATCACTCAGCTGCTCCCTAATGGTGGCGAGGGAGAGGGCTTGTCTAGCATGCTTCAGGCTCTGGGTTCATCCTTCGTGCTGCGATGTTGATGATGCTGGTGCTGACGACAACGACTGTAAGACCTAAAGTCTCACTTCCACTCCATGGAGCGTGAACAGCCAAAAAGGCCTCCACGATGAAAAGGCCTCCACGATGCTGGGCCCTAACACCCAGCGAGGCTCCGGGAGCTCGATGGAGAAACGAGAAACCCAGAAAGGAGCACACCAGGCTAGATGGTAAATAGACCTTTATTAGTCTGGCCAGACGGCACTCCCGGAGCCAGGTGGCTCAGAGAGGCAACTGCTCAGGGGCTGAGGTACTTTTTATAAGGTTTTTCTAAACAAAGAGTCAGGGAATTCACAGAACAAGACTGCAAACACATTGCTTATCTTATGCAGGAAATGTTCTAGGGTCACCTTTTGTCAAACCATTTGCCCCTGGGCGGGCTGTTAACCTAGGTAGCAATTAGCATATGAAGAAGCACATTCTGGCCTATTAGCATGGAGTCCCTTTGTGAAGACTAGAGGAGAGGATTGTAAGCAGAGTAAGGGGGTCAGGGGGTCAGTTTCCTGCTATCCCTTAGGGGGTCTGGTTTATGACGTGTCTGGCATCCTGCGTTGGTCACCCCAGACTCAGGATGCCCTGTCTTGATCAAAGTCCTAAGACATTACCTTTGTTTACTCATACCAAGTTTACATACACTTCCTTCTAATCTTATCTGTAGATAGGAGGGAGCAGAGTAGAATGGAATGTACTTTGTTATATGCAGACTGTCTAGGGCCTACACAGCGGTTGGGGTCCTACACAACGACAATGATAACGTCCTGAGACGGGCAGGGGGATAGAGAAAGAAGTGGGGTTTAATCCTGGGCCTCCCAGAGTCCCCAGAGCGCTAAGCATATAAACAAATGAACGAGGGTGAACAACCTCGTAGGAAAGCTAGCAAAGGACACAGACAATTCAAAGAAAAATAAATCTAGCCAGGTGTGGTGGCGCACGCCTGTAATCCCAGTACTCAGGAGGCTGAGGCAGGAGGATCGCTGTGAGTTCGAGACCAGCCTGGGCTGCATAGTGAGTTCCAGGTCATTCTCGACTACATACTGAAACACTGTCTCAAAAAAAAAAAAAAAAAAAAAAAAAAAAGAAAGAAAAAGAAAAAGAAATCCAAAGTGCCAATAAGGCAAAAAAAAGAAAAAAGAAAGCACTAGTATTTTTTATTAGTACACGTTTGTAGTCATAATGTTCACATTCCTCGTGGGAAGTTGGTAACGTCCGTAATACATCTCAGTTTTTAAAAATCCCCTTCTCCCCTCCGTCCCCCTCCCACCGTCTTCTCATGGTTCTCTTCCCTTTTGCAGAAGATCTAACTCGCTATTTTTTATCTTTTTTTTTTTTTTAATTTTTTGATCTTTATTTGTTTTTGTTTTTGTTTTTTGGTACCGGGGTTCAAACTCGGGACCTTGCGCTTGCAAGGCAGGCAGCGGAACCAATGAGCCAAATCCCCGGCCCTTTTGCTCTTTATTTATATTTTGGGTTTCTCATATAAAAGAAACCAATGCAGTCGTTAAGCGTGTGCATCTGATTTATTTCACTTAATGTTATGTTCTCAAGGTGCATCCACTTTCTTAAAAATGACTCAGATATCCTTATGTCAGCCAGTGCTTTGTATGTAAAGACCACATTTTCTTTACCCATGTATTGAAGAACATACAGGTCACTCCCGAGAGTTGCTGTTATAAATTGTGATGCTCAGTGACAGCTACTGCTTCAATTTGCAACTATTAGAAAGTGGGGGAGGCCGCGGGGTATAGCTCAGTGGCACTGAGCCTACCTCACAAGAGCAAGGTCCCGAGTTTGACCCCAGTAGGGGTGGGGTGGGGGGAGGCTCAGGCTGACCTGAGCCGTGCTGTGCGATTCTGAAATGTGCTCCCCCAGTCTCCCCCACCTCGCGTCATTACTGCACTCAGGCAGGTTCAGGGTGACCTCTGCTGCAGTTGATAAGCTGCTGTGTGTGGGCCACTGGGCAGTGCAGCGATGAGAGAGTCAAATGGGACACTTACTTTTACTTTTTCAAAGAATCTCCGTAACAGCGGTTGTACTAACCGTGGAAACTGGAAAGTGGAACTCCCACCAGCAGTGGAGAAGGGTTCCTTTTTCCCCACAGATTCAGCAGTATTTGTAATTGGCTGATTTCTTTTTTTTTTCCATACCAGAACTCCAACTCAGAACTTTGCACTTAGCAGGCAGGTGCAGCGCTGCTGAGCTAAATCCCCGGCCCAAAGGCTGATTGGTACCGGGAATCAAACCTTGTGCTTACGAGGCAGGTGGCAAAACCACTGAGCTAAATCCCCACCTGTAAATGCTGATTTCTTGATGATAGCCATTTTTTCTGAAGATGAAATCTCAGTATTAGTTTAATTTTGTATTTCTTGAATGACCAGTGCTGTTGAGCATTTTTTCATATATTTGCTGTTTCTACTTCTTCATCTGAGAAGTGTCTATTCATTTCAGATGCCCATTTTTGGGTTGGGTCTTTAAACTTGGGGGGGGTCTGATTTTTTTTTTTTTTTAGTTCTTTGTATATTCTAAGTATTAGTCCTTTGTCTGAGGAGCAGCTGGTAAAATTTTTTCCCATTCTGTGGGTTTTCTCTTCAATCTGTTGGTGGTTTCTTTTACTGTACAAAAGCTTTTTAATAAGATGAGATCCCAGTTGTTTATTCTTTGTAATATTTCCTGTGTGGTCGGGTTTTGTTCATAAAGTCTGCTTACACCAGTGTCTTCAAGGGCTTTACCTAACCTGTTTTCCATCAGATTAAGTGTTTCTGGGTGTTTGTTTGTTTGTTTGGTACAAGGGATCGAACTGAGGACCTTGCACTTGACAGACAGACACAGTGCCACTGAGCTACTAAGTGTTTCTGTTTTAATATGTAGGTCTTGGATCCATTTTGATTTTAGTTTAGTCCATGATGAAAGTTATGGGTCTAGGTTTAATCTTTGGGTTTTTTTGCTTTTGTTTTATAAGGCAGGGGGCAGGGTCTCTCTATGTAGTTCAGGCTGACCTCAAACTCATGGTGATATTCTTGCCTCAGCCTCCTGAGTGCTGGGATTGCAGGCGTGCACCACCATGCCAGGCTCCAGCATCATTCACTGAAGAGCTGTCTGTCTTCCAGTGAAGGTGTTTGGCCCCTTTGTCAAAGATAAGGTGGCTGAGTGTGCTTGGTGTTGTTTCTGCATCTTCTGTTCTGTTCCATTAATCCTTAGGTAGGTTTTGTTTTGCTCAGCACCATGCTGGGTGTCTTTTTGTTTTGTTTTGTTTTTTATCATAGTAGCTTTGTAGTATGATTTCTAGTCAACAATTGTGATGCCCCCTGCCTTTGTTGTCCAGAATTGCTTTTGCTATTCAAGTCCTCTTCTGATTCCAAATGACTTTTAGGATTTTTTTCCCTCTATTTCTGTGAGGTATGCTGTTGGTATTTTGATCAGGATTGTATTGAATCTGTAAAACAGTAGCTGGGTGTGGTGGTGCATACCTACGATGCCAGCACTTGGGAGGCTGAGGCTGAGGCAGAAGGATCACCACAGGTTTAAGGTCAGCCTGAACTGCAAAGTGAGACCCTGCCTCACAAAGGAAAAAAAAATCTGTAAAACAGTTTTAAAAGTCTGGTCATTTTCACTATATATTGATTCTGCCTATCCAAGAACAAGGGTCTTTTCATTTTCTGATATCCTCTTCCATCTCCTTTTTCAGGGTACTGTAGTTTTCAAAGTAGAGGTCTTTTACTTCCTTCATTAGATTGATTCCTAGATATTTTATTTTCTTGGATGCTATTGGGAAAGGTTTTGTTTCCCTAATTTCTCTCTCAGTGAGTTTGTTATTTGTGTAGAGGAAGGCTATTGATTTTTTTAGTGTTGACTTTGTATCCAGCTATGCTACTGAATTGGGTTATTAAATCTAGAAGTATTTTGGGGGAGTTTTTGTGGTCTTCTATGTAGAGTATCATGTCATCTGGAAATAATGCTAATTTAACTTCTTCCTTTCCTATATTTGTTCCTTTAATTTCCTTCTCTTGTCTAATTGGTCTTGCTAATGTTTCCAGACTATATTGAATAAGAGCAGTGAGAGTGGACATCTTTGTCTTATTCCTGATTTTAGAGTGAAAGCTTTCAGTTTTTGTCCATTTAGTATGACATTGGCTGTTGGCTTTTACCAGATTGAGATTAAAAACCTCCTATCCAATTTTCTGTAGGGTTTTTCTTTAGTATTGAATGGGTGTTGAACTTTGTCAAATGCTTTTTGTGAGTCTTTGGAGATGGTCATGTGGTTTTTGTCCTTGGTTCTGTTAATACGGTACATTATATATATTGATTTGCATATGTTGAACCATCCCTGCATCCCTGGGATAACTCCTATTTGGTCACAGTATATAACCTTTTTAATGATTTGCTGCATTCTGTTTGCCAGTATCTTTTTTTTTTTTTTTTTGTACTAGGGATCAAACTCGGCACCTTGAATTTGCAAAGCAGGCAGCAGAACTACTGAGCTAAATCCCCGGCCCTGTTTGCCAGTATCTTATTGAGGATTCTTGCATCTGTATTTGGGAGGTTGGCCTCTAATTCTCTTCTTCGGTTGGATCCTTCCCTGTTTTTGGTATCAGGGTGATGCTTGCTTCCAGGCATGAATTTGACAACACTGCTTCCCTTTCAGTTTCATTAAACCACGTGAGGAGTAGTGACACTAGATCTCCTCTAAATTTCTTGTGTAATTCAGTAGTGAATCCATCAGGATCCGGGCTTTTCTTTCTTGATAGTTTTAAAATTACTTCTTCAATTTCATGGAAATATTGAGTTATTTAGAATTATTGTGTCTTCTAGATTCAGCTTCAGTAATTCATATGTGTCTAGGAATCTGTCCCTTTCTTCTGCATTTTCCACACACCATTTTAGTTAAAGTGCCAGCTGGGCCAGGGATTTGGCTCAGCGGTTCCACTGCCTGCCTTGCAAGCACAAGGGCCCAAGTTTGATCCCCAGTACCACAAAAAAAAAAGTGCCAGCACTAACTCAAGCTCCAGCCTGTTTAAGCAGTTTACACAGAAGTTGGATATAATTTTGCTGCTCTATTGATTCTTCCCCATTATGCTAGCTACAGAAATTTTCTGTGGTGCCAAGTGTGTTACCTTTCACTTTCTCTTCAGATATCTTCTGAGCTCACCCATGGAGTCCTCTCGCCACCTAACACACCATGCCTTCTCTCCCTCACTCGAGTGTAACTTCTCTCTCAGGCCTGAGTGCTCCCATGGTGGGCACCAGATATCGGAGGGTGACTGATCCTCCAGCTGTGGAGAAAGGGGGTCAGCGAGGGCTAAAGAGAAAAAAAGACGACAGAGACATGCGTAATTTCTAAGTACAAGGGAGGCCAGGAGCTCAGTGCCTCAGAGTGGGCAAAGACAAGGACTCTGGGCTGGCCAGAATTTAATGGGTGCATACAATAATTGGGGGGAGCATCAGGTGACTTAGGGGGCAGCAGTGATCCTATGGAGATGAGGATCTTACGCTGATGAAGATCTTGGGTCATGAGGTTCTTATGTTGAGGAGGACTGTAAGGAGAGCATTCTTACAATAGGAGGTGGGACAAGTTGAGTTGATAAGGAACTTGTCCCTCCCCAGGGGAAACCTTTCTCTTACTACTCGGTTCTCAAAGAACCAGGACGTCTTTAGCTGATGTAGTCCTGCCCTGGAGTGTCACAGCATCAGGGGACCATTGAGGGCTCAGCTGTGACTGGAGGCAAAAATGGAGTTACATCTCGACACGCCATAGCCAGCCTATAGGCAGGAAAACTAGGCCTGATCATAATTCAACTGTGAAATGATTTTTCCCAAAAATTATGTAGAATTGCTCCCAACAGATTTTATGTATTAAAATTCATTGAGTAATCCTTCAATTAAAGAGAATACACGTGGCAAAAAAAAGCACAAAACTTTTTTTCAGTGAACTAAGAAACTAGTAGTATAAATGAAACAAATTAGCAAAATATTAAAATATTTTTGAAACAAAGGAATAGGTAAGTGGGGAATTATTTGAACTTCTCCCTACTTCTGTTTACCTTCTTTTTAACTCTGTGTGTGTGTGTGTGTGTGTGTGTGTGTGTGTGTGTGTGTGTGTTTGGGAGGGTTCTCATATGAGAGAACCCATGCATTATTTAAGCATTTAAGCATGTGTGTCTGACTTATTTCCCTTCATGTTATGTTCTCAGGTTGCTTCCACTTACCTGTGAATATTTTGTTTATTTTTCTGTATAACAAAGTAGTACTGCACTGTGTATTAGTACCACACTTTTGTTAACCATTCATCTGTTGGTGGACATAGACACTATTGCCAAGATCTAACTAGTTTAAATTGTGCTGCTACGAACATGGCGATGTGTGTATCCCTGTAATATGATGATTTTTAACTCTTTTGGGATGATACCTAGAAGGGGGATAGCTGGGTCAAATGAAATTTCTGTTTAGTTTTTTGAGGACTCTCCATACTGATTTCCATAGTAGTTGTGCTAGTTTACCTTCACACCAACAAGGAGGAGACTTTTTCCCCACATCCTCACCAGTATTTGTTATTACTAGATTTCTTAACGTTAGCCATTCTTTCTGGGGTAAGATGATAACTCTGTAGTTTTAATTTCCATTTTTCTAATGGCTAGTGATAGTGAACACTTTTTTATGTATTTGGCCATTTGTACTTTCTCTTTTTTTCTTTCCTTCTTTTTTTAACCAGGGATTGAACTCAGGACCTTTCGCTTGCAAGGAAGGCGTGGTGCCACTGAGCTAAATCCCCAGCCCTGTACTTCTGAGAAGTGTCTATTCATTTCAGTTGCCCATATTTTGATTGGGTCTTTTATTTGGATGAATCTTATTTTTACAAATTCTTTATATATTTTAGATGTTAGTCCTCACTTTCAGTTCAAGGCCTGTACTGCGCAGCAAAACCTTGTCTCAAAAAAACTATAAATAAATAAATAAATAAATATTTTAAAACTATAAATAAACCAAAATGTTCCAAATGGCTCCATTTCTTTTTCAGTTAATGCAAAGAGAATGATGTAATGAAAAATTTGTTCAAAACTGTGTGCATAGCACTGGGCACAGTGGTGCACATCTGTACTCCCAGCGTTCAGGAGGCTGAGGTGGAGGATCACTGTGAGTTCGAGGCCAGCCTGAACCATAGAGTGAGACCCTGTTGCAAAAAATAAAACAAACAACTACATCCACAGAAAATACCTGTACTCAGTATCAACATTACCTTCTCTTCCAAGGGTCCAGACTCATGTCTCTATTGACAGCTCCATTTATTTTTTGTTCCCAATCAAACTTACTGAGATGTTACTTTATGAACAGTCGTGATGGTTTTGTGTGTGTGTTGCTGGAGATGGAACTCAGTCCTGAGACCTGCTAGGCAAGTGCTCTAGCTCCACGAGCTCTACACCTAGCTGGTGACACCAGTGTGAACGTGCTGATGAGCGTGACAGATGTGTACACTGCAAACCACCCTGCTCTGAAGATGCAGGACGTTTTCATCAACTCCCGAAGGCTCACCCTGCCCCTTTGCAGGCCATCTCCCCTCTGCTGCCCACTCCAGGCCGCCACTGTTTGCCCTGGACACTGTAAGTTACTGTGCATCTCTGTAATGGCTTATAATTGGTCACATAACAAGCACTTGTTTTTGGTTTGGCTTCTAGTCTACCCCTTTCCAGTGCTGAGAAATAGTTCTCTGTATGAATATATTTCATTTTGTTTATCCACTCACCTGTGGAAGTAGGTTGTTTCGGCTTGAGGATATTATGAATAAAGCTGCTCTGAATATTTATACCCATGTCTTTATATAGATTGTTTTCATCACATCTGGATAAATATTCAGTGGAATACCTGAATCACACAAGTATAGGGAAAGGGTAATGCGAGTTGCCAGAGACCCCTGCAGTGGTACCGGGCTCCTGCAAGCCAGTACTACACCTGCGAGACAAAAGTAGGAATTAAAAGAAGCACACAGAGAGACTGGAGAGAAACTCTCTTGGGCTGAGCTAAACTGCTCTGGGCAGCACAACAAAGGACTCCCAGGACGTCCAGTGTTTATTCAGTACCAGTGTGAGAAGGAGAAGCTGGGCAGGCCTGGAGACACCTGCTGAGAAATTTCCAGCAGGCAGGGCTGGAGAATGCGGCACTGCATACCTGTGCTGAGGAGAACAAACAGTTAATGCCGAGGGAGGAATTTAGCTGGAGCCAGTTGACTTTGACCAAACTCAGCAGAGCCCTGCTACTTCTAGTGTAGCACAGCTGAATTACAAAGGGGCAGGAAGCTTGTGCCACTGTAGCCTGCTGACACTGGGCAGGGCATCTGCTGCAAGTAAGAATCCAGCTTTTCAAGAAACTGCCAGAGCATTTTACATTCCCAACAGCGGTGTGTGATGCTCCCATTGCTCTACATCTGTAAAAGTAGGGAAACAGATGTTGTCGTGTTGCCATGGTGACAAGCAGCTACCTTTGGCGGAATCACTGGCCATAGCAGGTGGCCTCCGTGGCCCCTTCCTCCTGATGTACATGCTTTTATACGACCCCACTTGCAAGTGTGGACAGGATCTGCGATGTGCATCTGATCCTGGTTCATGCATAGGTGATGGGAGATACATGATTGTGTCACCCGAGATTGTAGTCTGTCTCCCTGAGGTCTCTCTCCCTTGCTGGCCATGAGGGAGCAAGTGGTCGTGTTGGAGAACTCCAAGTTCAAGGGCCTGCAGGCCCTAGGTAGACACCAGGGCCTGAGCTTCCAGCTGAGGAAAAACAAAAGGGAGGGAGGGGAGAAAGAAGCACCTCTCTGTTCAGCACCAAAAGGAACTGCATGCTAGTGACCAGGTCCGTGAGGAGGTAGGCCCTGCCCCAGCGGAACCTCCAGAACCCAGCCCTGGCCCACACCTTGAGAGCAATGTTGGGAGACTATAGAGGGCCCTACAGTCTGGGCTTGGATCCCTAACCCATATAAACAAGAAGGCAATTCAACAAGGAAGTTGAATTCTGGCTAGTTTAATTGAGCTCTTGTTGCTGAATTTAATTTGTTTCCACATCAAATGTAACCAAATAGGTCTTTGAATAAAGTCCTTAGTCAGGCCTTTTATGATGTAATCAGGCCTAGGTCTTTGTATTAAGTAATTAGACTTCTTGGTTTTGGGATACATTGTTTCATTATTAAATCTTTTTTTCATTACTAAATCTTGATCTTTGTATAAGGTTATTAGATTTTTCTGTTTTGTGAGTATACTTTTTTGTTTTGTTTTGTTTATATTTAACGTTTTTTTGGTACCCAGGATCGAACTTGGGACCTTGTGCTTGCAAGGCAGGCAGCAGAAACACTGAGCTAAATCCCCAACCCATGGCTTGCTTTTTTTTTTTTTTTTT